GTCAATTGACCCCTCTAAGGCATCTGACAAAACCTAACGCCCATTCCTCATGAAAGCACTCAACAAAATAGATATAGAGGGAAAATCATAACTATAGTAAAGAGAATATATACAAAACCAATAGCCAACACTACTCTAAATGGGAAGAAATAGAAAGCATTGCCCTTATGAGCAAAAACCAGACTAGGATGCCTTCATCACCACTCCTGTTCAATATCGTGCTGTAAGTCTGAGAGCTTTATGGCAAAGAAGGGAAATTAAAGGCATCCAGAGTAAGGAAGAAGAAGTAAAACTCTATTTTCAGATTATATGCTGCTATACATGGAAAATCCCATAGACTCGGCAAGAACTAATTGATAGATTCTTGTAAAGTGGCAGGAGATAAGATCAACATATAAAACTCAGTCAGACTCCTTTATACTAACAAAGAATGTTCTCTCTGAAAAGGAAATCAAGAAAACAATGCCATTTATAATAGCCACCCAATAGATGAAATACTTAGAAATAAATATAACTAGAGAAACAAAAGCCCCATCAAAGAAAGCTACAAATCACTAGTGTGAGGAACCAAACTAGACCTACATAAATGGAAGAATATACCGTGTCCATGGATCGGAAGAATTAACACTGTGAAAATAGCAATAATACCCAAAGCTACCCACAAATATAATGCAATTCCAATCCATATATGGAAAGGAAAGAGACCTCTCAAATAACCAAAGCACTACTAACGAAGGAGAAAGTAGGACGCCTCTCATTTCCTGACTTCAAAACCTACTACACAGCCATGGTAGTTATAGAAGATGTTACCATTGAGAGAGGCTAGCTGAAGGAAGCTTGGGACCTCTCTGGACATATTTATACCTTCTTGTGGATTGATTATTATCTCAACATTTAAAAATATATGTATAAAGTTTGTATCCAAATAAGTAAATAAAAATTTAAAGCTGCATCACATTAATTTTAAAAGGCCCATTTACTTTTGAAGCCAAATATCTTTATATAACAACTAAGAAATAGTACTAATGGTTCCTGCCATCTGGGACTCATAATTCCTATTAAAAAACAAACAAGCAACACTAACTATATTACCCAGCAATCCCTGTTCTTGGTATATGTCTTAGAGAGATAAGAGCCATAACATGAACAACTATATGTACATTCCCTTTCATTGCAGCACTATTCAAAATCAAAACACAATAAAATATGGAAACAATCTAAGTGACCATCAATAAAGGAATGAGTAAAGAGTATATATATATACACATATACATATATATATATAGAGAGAGGACTATTATACAATAAGAAGAGTAGTATCAATGAGTCTGTGAAACACCTCTTAACATGGATGTCATAACAAGAATGAACCTGGACGACATTATACAGAGTGAAATAATTCAATAACAAAATGACAAATATTGTATGAAACCACCATTGTAAAAATTAATGAAAGATTTTATACTAAAAGAAATATTCTTTGGTGATACTAGAGATGAGAAGAAAGGGAAGTCATGACCTAGAGGGCGGCAAGTGTTAACTTGGATGAAGAGAAGAGCAATATACAACAGCAAATTACCTGCCCTCAAGTCAGTGCTGACTCCTAGTGGCCCCATAGGACAAGGGAGAACGGCCCCGGGGACTTTCTGAGACTGCCACTCTTTACAGGAGTAAAGTAGAAAGCCCTATCTTTCTCCCAAGGGGCAGCTGGTAGTTTTGAACTGCTGACTTTGTAGTTAACAGCCCAACTAGTAATCACTATGCCACCAAAGCCAATATAAACAAGACAATCTTTTTATTATGATCTAGGTGAAGGTTTACAGAGCAGATCATGTATTTTACATTCAACAATTTGTACACAATTTGTTTCAACTCATCCATTTTAACCCCCTCAATGTATCATCATTGATCTAATTTCCTTTCTGTGTTCCTGTGTCCATTCCCCCCTCTTTCTTAACCTTCTGTCCCTGGATAAATGCTGCCCTTTTGATCTTAAATGGCTGCCTATTCTAATACAGGGGTAAACTCAGTTTCAGACCAGAGGGTGATTCAGACCCATAATCTTGGGGTCTTATATGTCTTTATCCGATCCATAAGCCTGGTCTCTTTTATGATTTTGAACTTTGTTCCACATTTTCCTTTCATGTTTTCTAGGACATTCTAATGTGATCCTTTTCAGAGCAGTTGGTAGTGGTGGCTGAGTGCCATCTAGTTCTGGTCTCAGGGTTGTGGAGACAGATGTTCTGATGATCCACGAGTCCATTGAACTAAATATCTTCGTGTGTTTTACAAACGTCATCAGTTATCTAGTCTTTAGATGGAAAGAAATCAGTTTTGCATCTTACATGGCTGCTCACGAGCTTTTAAAACCTACATCACCAGTGTAGCTTGTAAAGCATTTTCTTCGTGAACTCTGTCATGCCGATTGACCTTGATGTCTAGACCCATCCTCTCCAGTGTTTGGTTCTGTCTACGAAGTTTTCATGCATGGATCCCCTGTATGTTCCACCATATTCATGGGTACACAAAATAAGAACTTTATAAAAGTTAACATTTATGTAAATTAACTTTAAACCAATACTACTCCACTGATGGTTTTGACAGGAAGATTTTATTTGCATCCTATCTCAATGAATTTACTTTTAATAGAAAATGGCAGCTACCACCAGTATAAAGACAATTAATTTTGCTCTTGACTTCTGGCAACTTAACCATTAACTAGTGACCTTGGCCAACATACTTAACCCTGGAGCTTTGGTTTCCTCATTTACATAATGGGAATCATTTTCTTCCCACTCACAAGACATTATAAGATGATACACATGGTAAACATGAAGAACTCTAAAGCAAGCACTCAACCCCAAATAATGGACATCTGGAGCCCCTTTCTTTTCCTGAAGTGTAAACGCCTACTACACAAAAGAGAAACATTTGACCCCGGCAATTCATAGAAACATTACCTTTTATACCACAACGTCCACAAATGGCTGCAAACACTGTACATTCCATTTCAATGTTCCTGACCCCGGCTTTGTAGGCTCTCTTCAAGTAATCTAACTTCTTTTCTCTTGAGTAAGAGCACAGTGCCCCATCTAATCGACCTTGGCCTGAAAGAGAACATCGGACATTGGTTGGCCTGATATCCATCATGGTAGCAGTGGTGTTGCTCATCAGCCTGCTCCCCAGGGGTAAACATGGCCGTGTGATGCTTCTTGTCAGAAGGCCAGGGAGCAAGACTCTGTCCAATTCAATAGCCTCATGTGTATCACCATGGCACTGAAAGCCCCAGTTCTGGAGCATATAACCGTGGCTGTCCCTTGAGGACAATCTCAAGTTGCTTTAATGACCTCAGAGATGGCCTGGGAACAGGTGCCAGGGAGGGAGAAAAGGGACGTATTTGTGCTGGTCAGCTGTTTGAGGATGAGGATAGTAGTTGGGGCATTGTACCTCTCCAGATATCTATCATGACATCATAGCTATATACAGCTAACCAGTCCCTCTACCTAGTGCCCTCTGCACACCTCTCAGGAACAGACACCCATTTAGGATGGATTGTCCTCTGCAGGCTTCCCTCAATGTTCATGTATCCCTTCATTCCACCAGTAGCAGCCAGCGGAGCTGTAAGAACACAGAACAGCCTGGTCTATTGCTCCTCCTTCATTCTGAACACAAGGAGCACAGCTTTTCTCCACTCCCTGTTCCCAAAAAAGGCTCACATCGAAGCAGGTGGGTTCACAGCATTGTCAGCCTTCATGAATTTCGCAGTCCTCTTCTTGTTGCCCTTCTTGCGATTGTTCTCCCTTTCCCCTAGCTCTCTCTTTATATTTCTGCCCGTGTTTGCTTCTCCCTGTTCACTCCTCCATATGGTGACCTGCCAACCCCTGTAACACACGTGTTGTTGACACCGAGTCAAACTCACATGGCCCAGGATCCAGCTCGTGTAACGTTTGCTTGAGAAATAAGAGCGTTAGCTCACTCGCACTCTACCAGATATGGACCCAGATGCGGGGTGTGCTGGATTTCCATACATATATTATTTATATTTTTATACTATAGTCTCAAGAAGTTAAAAAAAAAGAAAGAAAATCTGGATTCTCCTATGAAATCTCCAGACAATATAGAACTCAAAAACCAAACTGATTGCCAACTTATAGTTGATATCAACTCACAGTGAACCTATAGGACAGGGCAGTATGAATGTTAGCTAAATTATTCATAATTTTTAATATGCTGTAGAGTCCAAAGAAAACACATCCAAGCTTGACTCCAATAGCCTGCCATTTGCAAGCTCTGACTTAAATTAAAGGCATGGTGAGTTTCCAGATGCAAGGACTATGGGGCAGGAACCGAGGACACTGAGTCTCAACCTTAGCCAACCACCAGACCCCCCAGTTTATAGCAATTATGGGATGACACCATTTTTCACCCAAAGTAAAATTTGTAGATAATTTCATCTGTTTGCATATAAAAATGTTTTAATTCAATGGAACTCCCTAATTTTTATTCAAAGGGAAAATAAAAGAAAACAACATAATAAAATGATGTGAATTTTATATGAAAATACTCAAACAAACCAATCACAATGATTGCCATATTAACCCCTGCCCCTCCACCCCTAAGGGTATGAACAACAGAAATGTGGGTGAAAGGAGACAGCAGACAGGGTTGATATGAAAATAATAATAATTTATGAGTTATCAAGGGATCACAAGGGTGGGAGCGTGGGGGAAGGAAGGAAAAAAGGGGTGCTGATGATACCAAGGGCTCAAGTAGAAAGGAAATGTTTTGAAAATTATGATGGCAACATATGTACACAAGTGCTTGATACAATTGATGTATGGATTGTTATGAGCTGTAAGAGCCCCCCGCCCAAATGATTTCTTAAAAAAACAAAAAGAAAATACTCAAACATAATTATGCTGAAAGCATGAGATTTTCAGAATGTCCCCTCAAAGCGGTACTAAGCTAATGCCTTCATGTTGGAGTATGGAGTTTAGATTTTTTCTTGCAAAATGAGATGGGTGAGTGCTTCAGATTCCCCCGGCCCTCTCCCCCACCGACTCCTGGCTCCTTATTCCTTGTAGCGAGAGCTGCAATTTGGCAAGCATCTTTAATCTGTCTCTGTACTTAATTGGAAGATCCTTTAGTCCTGGCCAGGGACACCCCATTCTTTGGGCATTCCTATCCCCTAATATTTCCCCCTGTTTTCTGGTCCCCACTCCTGCCTGGGCATCAGTTCTCTGTGGAGGCACAAATGAATAACAGAAACATAGGATTAGCATATTTCCCTTCTCCTGGAGTTGCTGATTTAAATTAAAGGCAAAAACAGAGATAAGATTCTGCTAACATCACTAATTGCATTTTAGTATTCAATTTGTTCCTGGAGGATTAAGCCCACTCTCAATATAAATTCATTATGGATGTTTCTCTGTTGCTTATTAGGTCCTTATGTTCCTGTGCTTTAGTAAGTGAAAAGGGCTATTTCCATTCCTTTTTAAATCCCCAACAATTAATGTTTCTAAAGCAGAGTTTTTAATGTACGTTGGGTATTTAGATAACAAAGTCTTACTGGCTCTAAATTCACAGTTTGTAAATTGTTCTCACCTTCATAAAAATCATCAGTACACATTGTGTGTCCAATGAGGGTTGGGAAGTGAGGGAAATCTTTGCTACAGGTGAACAGCTCCTCAGCAAGGTCCCTGTCGAGTTCAGTACTTCGGGTGACGATGCTGTCCATGATGACCTGCTCAAACCGGGGCTTAAAGAAGGAGTCCACCGCTGTGTCTGTGATAACCACAGATCCTGGCTCGATCCCTGTAGTGGGAATAAACAACGTGATTTCAGAAGCTTGCCATTTAGACTGTATGAGCCCTGTGGCATCGTAGGTTCCAGTTCGGACTGCTAACCACGAGGTCAGCAGTTTGAGCCTACTGAGTGCTCCACAGGAAAAACATGAAGTTTTCTGCTCCCATAAAAGTGTACCAACTGGAAACCCCTGGGACAGTTCTACTCTGTCCTGGAGGGTCACTACGAGTCAGAGTGGACTGGGTGGCAGTGAAGTGTTTGTTTGTTTGTTTGGGGGGTTGTTTTGTGACACATAGTTCATAACCTATTCTGTCAACAGTCATTACTTCTTTTTCCTAACAACTCTTCCTATTTTCATCTTTAATATTATTCTTTTCCCTAGTGCAATGAAATAATAACATTCTGCGCAGGCATTTACATTTGCTGTCTTTTCAGATTCAATTCTACCATGTGATGGGGTTTGGATTTCAAGACAAACATGACTCCTGGACATGCAAATTAGCACTGGCCTTCGGGCCCAAATTTGTATTAATTAGTTCAGGAAGAAACTAGATGAGCCTGCCACCAAGTAGCTTCCATCAAGTGACGTGACTGCTTGATATTCAGTCCTCTCAGCAACTCCTTTTTACTGTAATTTTTTGCATCTCTGTGCTCTCTTCCTTCTGACTCTCATCCATCCCCTCCCTTCCCCTCCCCTCCCTCACCTTATGCAAATGAGACCTCCTGGCTAACCTTACATTGCTGCAAACTCTGGCTTGCAGTGGACTTGGGCTTATTTGAGCCACCATTTTCTACCAGCCGACAGGTAGTCTCCTTCCCCAACCCTCTGACCCGTTGCATCGGCGTGATGACAGCTCTTCCCTCAGGAGTCAGCTGTAGACATTTCCTTTCACAGGAATCCATGGAGATTAAACCAAGGGGAAATTAAAGAGCAACACAAACGATTACATTACATTTCTAAGGGGTTGGGTGTGGGACTACAGAAACAAGACCCCTTTACTGACTGACTAACCAAGGTCAAGAAGAGGGTAGTTCTGGAAAAACTTTAGAAAGTGTCTTCCAGGCTGCCTAAAGGTATAAGCTGCTCCCATTCTGATAGTAATGAGGAAATGACAACTGAGAGAAAACCCAATATTTTCCTAAGAATTATGCCTTCTGTTACGTTTGCTGAAAAACAAGGAAAAAACTGTTTCACTTGAAAGCACTTATTTCAAAACCTCAACATTTACTCTAACCCTCAAGTTTATTTTTCCTCCTGTCATGAATTGAATTTACATGCTGTAAATTCTAGCTTCTATGCCTATGGCTAAATCCCATTTAAGAATGGGGCTTCTTTGTTATGCTAATGAAGGATTCATGTAAAGTACATTTTAAGTCACTTATCACATTAAAGTAGCAGGTTAAATAAAACCTAGGTGGGGGTTGGTGTAAGATATGAAAATAATAATAATTTTATAATTTACCAAGGGGTCAAGAGGGTGAGTTGGGGGAGAGAGGGAAAAAAGAGGAGCCGATGCCAAGGGCTCAAAGAGAAAGTAAATGTTTAGAAAACGAGGATGCAACAGATGTACAAATGTGCTTACTACAAGAGATGTGTGGATTGTTATAAGAGCTGTAAGAGCCCCCCCAAAATGATCTTTTAATAAAAAAAAGAAAAGCTGGAGAGGGGGACTGAGATGCCAAGCCACTTGGAGATCATCTCAAAATAAAATGCAACCAACCAGTATAAGAGGAACCAGAAGTTCGAGAGACAAGGACCTTCTGCCAGAAATGAAAGCAAGCCTTCACCTAGACTCTAGGTCCCGGAGTCAAGAGTTTGGTGCATACATTTGAATGACGGTTGTATTCACTAGTCTTCTTTGTGTGTGTATAGATATTATCCTATCACAGACACATTGTACTTTAATGTGGATCTTGAAATAAATTGTTGTTTGTTAAAGCAATTCACTCTTGGTTTTCCCATTATAGACCTCCAAAACATATTTTCTTACATTTTTGTGCCTTAAAAATAATAGTTCAGTAAGAGAATTGTCATTTTCTCTATGGCCATGAGTCATAATCAGAAGAAACAGCTATAAACAATCATTAATTAATCAGAATGTAGATATACAAAGTACTAATCTACGAAAATTGGAAGTCATTAAAAATGAAAGGGAACAAATAAATATCGATAGCCTAGGTGTAGTTAGTTGAACTGGGCTCTGGTATTTGCCATTTTTAATCAGACAATCATATGGTTTACTATTGCCAGGAATGACATATTCAAAAGGAATAGTGTTAAATTTATTGTCAAAAAGAACATTTCAAGATCCACACTAACGTACAACGGTGTCTGTGATAGGATAATAGCTATAAGCATACAAAGAAGACCAGTTAATACAACTATTATTCAAATTTATGCACCAAACGCTAAAGCTAGTGATGGACAGATTGAAGAAGTTCTACCAACTTTTTTACTCAAAAATCGATCAAATATGCCATCAAGATGCATTGATAATTATTGGCAATTGGAATGAAAAAGTTGAAAAGAAAGAGGAAGAAGGGTAGGTGTACAATCTTGGTGATAGAAATGAAGCTGAAGAGTACATGACAGAATTTTATAAGACCAACAATTTCTTTATTGCAAATACCCTTTCTTCAACAACATAGTGACTATACATATAGATTAGGCATCCTCAAACTATGGCCTGCAGTTCACAGGTGGCCTGCCGAGGACGTTTATCCGGCCCACTGGGTGTTTTTGCCCCATTTGTTTTTTCACTACAAAATAAGATATGTGCAGTGTCCATAGAAATTTGTTCATAGTTTTTTGACTATAGTCCAGCCCTCCAACGGGTCTGAGGGACAGTGAACTGGCCCCCTGTTTAAAATGTTTGAGGACCCCTGATTTAGTACCTTATGGGTTTCATAGGAAAATCAAATTTACTATATCCTTGGGAGGAGATAATAGAGCTCAATATCAGCCAAAATCAATCCAGGGGCTGAGTATAGACTAAAGTATTAATTGCTATTATTGCTAATCGGTTGAAGTTGAAGAGAATGAAAACAGGTCCAAGAAAGCTAAAATATGACCTTTGAATATATTCTACCTAAATTTCAAGAACAGATTTGACAAACTGAACACTACTAACAGAAGACCTGACATGCTATTATTGACATCAACAACGTCATGCATGAAGAAAGCAAACTGTCAAATAAAATGAGTAGAAAGAAAGAACCCAAGTAAATGTCAGAAAAGCATCGGAAACTTGCCCTTAAACATAGATGAGCTAAAGCAAATGGAAGAAATTACGAAAAAGAGCACAACATAACATCTCAAAGGGCCGTTTGAGAGACAAAGTAATGTATTATAATGAAATGTGCAAAGCCCTGGAGTTAGGAAGCCAAAAAGAAATAACACACTCAGCATATCTCAAGCTGAAAGAATTGAAGAAATAACTCAAATGTTCAGTTATAATATTGAAGGTTTCAAAGGGCAAAATATTGAGTGATGCAAGAAGCATCTAAAGACATGGAAGGAATGCACGGAGTCACTGTACTAAAATGAAATGGTCAATATTCAACCATTTCAAGAGTCAACATCTGATCAAGAACCCATGGTACTGAAGGAGGAAGTCCAAGCTACATTGAAAGCATTATCCAAAAACAATATTCAAGGAATTGATGGAATATCAATTGAAATGGTTCGACAAGATGATGAAATATTGGAAGCACTCACTCATCTATGTCAAGAAATTTGGAAGACAGTTACCTATCAAACCACGTGGAAGATGATCCATATTGTGTCTACTCCAAAGAAAGATGACCCACCAGAATGTGGAAATGATGAAACTATATCATTAATATCACATGAAAAGAATTTTTTTCTGGAGATAATTCAACAACGGTTACAGTAATACATTGACAGGGAGCTGCCAGAAATTCGAGCTGGAGTCAGAAGAGAATGCAGCATGAGAGATATTATTACTGATGTCAGGTGGATCTTGGCTGAAAGCAGAGAATACTTGAAAGATGTTGTGTTGACCATGCAAAGATATTCAACTGTGTAGATAACAACACACTATAGATAACATTCAGGGGGGAGAGGAATTCCACAACCCTTCATTTTGCTCGGGTAGAACCTGCACATGCAAAGGTTCTGCGTGATGTAAAATTGGGAAAGATATGTGTCAAAGCTGTAAGCTTTCACCATGTTTATTCAATTGTATATTGGAAAAATAATCTGAGAAGCTGGACTATATCAAGGGGAATGTGGCATCAGGATTGGAAGAAGAACTATTAACAGTATGCGTTATGTGGATTATGCAACCTTGCTTGCTAAGATTGAGTTGGGGTTGGAGCACTTGCTGGTGAAGACCAAGGACAGCAGTCTTCAAAGTCACAGCAACCCAATAAAGAAGCCAACAGCCTCACAACTGGGTTAATGGGCAACATCATAAAAAATGAGGAAAAGATGGAACCAGTCAAGGATTTTCTCTTGCTTTGATTTACAGTCAATGCTTGGGGAAGCACCAGTCAAGAAACCCAATGATGTTTTCATTGGGCAAATCTGCTGCAGAAGCCCTCTGTAAAATGTTGACGAGCAAGGTTGTCACTTTGAGGACTGAGATGCTCCCGACTCAAGTCACGGTATTTTCAGTGCCCTCGTGTGCATGTGAAAGTTGGACAATGAATAAAGAAACCCAAAGAGAAACGATGTGTTTGCAGTATGGTGGTGGTAAAGAATAAAGAGAGTACTGTGGACTGCCAGGAAAACAAAACACAACCCTGCCAGGATGCTCCTTAGCAACAAGGCTGGTGGAATCAGGGGAAACGAGTCCCTGGAAAAGAAGATCATGCTTGCTAAAATAGAAGGTCACCGAAAAAGAAGTCTGTCGAGGAGATGGATCGACACAGTGGTTGCAACCATGGGCTAAACATCACAACAATTGTGTCCATCGGTGGCAGTGTTTCCTTCTGTTGTGCACAGGGTCGGCACAGGTTGGAACCGACTTAACCATGCCTGATAATAACAATAATATATTGGAAATTTAGGTTCAGTTCCTGGCCCATAAACTTTAAGCACAGCCACCACCAATCTGTCAGGGAAGACGTACGTATTGCTATCAAGTTGCAAACGTTTTAGCAATGCTTCCTGACTAAGAAAGGTTTGTCAGCCTACTTCCGAACACGGAAGCCCCCGAGAAGCACTAGTTCTAGTATGTTGCGCACGAGTCAGGTGCCCCTTCCATGGCAGCTAAGAACAACAGAACAGCTGCCCATAGCAGTAGCTTTTCTCCCTCCAGCTTTTCCTGGAGGAGAAAAAATACATATATAATTGATTAGAGTGCCTTACTTTTCTGCTGCGCTCTGAGTTTGCAGCTACTGTTTGTGCTAGACGACTTGGTGTTTGTGGAAGGAATCAACCCATCTCACCTATTCCCCCTGAGGTACCAATTCGAAAAATGGTCACATCACAGCACTGCGCATGGTAAAGTAATTTGATGAGTTCGTGAAGCATGACAGAAATGGAAGGAACGCCCATGCCATGCTGTGGAGAGAAAGGAGAAAGTCATTACATAGCTTGCAAACGGATACACGCGGAGGACATATTTTCTTCCTTCATTATGAGTTAACAGGCTTTGGGTGAATTTACATAATCATTAAGACTTTGCCAATGCTGAAGAAAATGTAAGTCATCCCTAACTGACGCCTACACGGCACGCTGATCGATGGGCCCGTCTGTGAGGCTGAGAGAGAAGCACCTCACTGACAGTTCAGTGGAGTGCAGCCCTCAGTTAGGAGGATGGCATCATGTTCAGGTGCGCCCGGGCAGGGCCATTTCTTATCCCTCCACTTAGGCTGATACTTTGAAAAATGGACTGTTTGCTAGTTTGACTTGATTTTGAGGAAACTTCGGTTTGATCATCATACACTGCTAAGCCTTTCCCACACACTGAACGAACCGGTGAACTCATGCCATTGCTCTCATTGGGCTTGCTTGCCTCCTACTAATTCTGGGTGAGCCCTAAAGAGTACTGGAGATATGAGCCATAGCCATACCTTACATTTTGAAACATATTCTGGACATCTAGGTGAAATGGAGTTGGTATAGATCGTGGTCATAACTCTGGTTTCCTCAGAATTTAGAACAATAGCACTGATGTCACCACCATGGAGATTAACGCAGAATCAAGGATTGAATGAGAGCCAGCGGCATCCTGGTGGTTATTGGGTAAGCATTGAGCTGTAACCCAGAGCTAGGTGGTTCATGCTCAGCGGAACAGGAGGCTGCTGTCTTTGTAAAGCTTTACCAACCTTCCTAATGCCGCGACCCTTTAATGGGTTTCATAGGAAAATCAAATTTACTATATCCTTGGGAGGAGATAATAGAGCTCAATATCAGCCAAAATCAATCCAGGGGCTGAGTATAGACTAAAGTATTAATTGCTATTATTGCTAATCGGTTGAAGTTGAAGAGAATGAAAACAGGTCCAAGAAAGCTAAAATATGACCTTTGAATATATTCTACCTAAATTTCAAGAACAGATTTGACAAACTGAACACTACTAACAGAAGACCTGACATGCTATTATTGACATCAACAACGTCATGCATGAAGAAAGCAAACTGTCAAATAAAATGAGTAGAAAGAAAGAACCCAAGTAAATGTCAGAAAAGCATCGGAAACTTGCCCTTAAACATAGATGAGCTAAAGCAAATGGAAGAAATTACGAAAAAGAGCACAACATAACATCTCAAAGGGCCGTTTGAGAGACAAAGTAATGTATTATAATGAAATGTGCAAAGCCCTGGAGTTAGGAAGCCAAAAAGAAATAACACACTCAGCATATCTCAAGCTGAAAGAATTGAAGAAATAACTCAAATGTTCAGTTATAATATTGAAGGTTTCAAAGGGCAAAATATTGAGTGATGCAAGAAGCATCTAAAGACATGGAAGGAATGCACGGAGTCACTGTACTAAAATGAAATGGTCAATATTCAACCATTTCAAGAGTCAACATCTGATCAAGAACCCATGGTACTGAAGGAGGAAGTCCAAGCTACATTGAAAGCATTATCCAAAAACAATATTCAAGGAATTGATGGAATATCAATTGAAATGGTTCGACAAGATGATGAAATATTGGAAGCACTCACTCATCTATGTCAAGAAATTTGGAAGACAGTTACCTATCAAACCACGTGGAAGATGATCCATATTGTGTCTACTCCAAAGAAAGATGACCCACCAGAATGTGGAAATGATGAAACTATATCATTAATATCACATGAAAAGAATTTTTTTCTGGAGATAATTCAACAA